AGTTTTGAGTCTTTTTTAACCATTTATACAATTCACAAATAATTAATTTAATTTGATATCAATTCAATCGGTGAACATTATAGATAACATCTAAATCAATAATAATTTGAAATATAATACGATATATTCTGTATCTAAAAGTTTGTAATGAAATTCGTGGGATTCAAGTATTTAATGAGGACTGAAATGCTCTTCCGGTAATACCTGAGCGATTGAATTCTCATTTCTATTCGCTTTTACTCTCTTTGACTTCCGTTTGATTCATCTCTTCTCATGTGTACTAACCGTCGCCGGGATCTCAAACTCAGAGTCTATTTATACTCTACTTATTCTCTATAACTCTAATACAGTGTTTCGATATTTTATTAAATTCAACGTTAAGTCAATTGATTACAAATTATACAGAAATTGTTTTATAAAACATATTTTCAACGACATTTCTGTGACCCAAATATTGAAAAGTGTTTGCATTTCACTTAAATTATTCTCAATTCTATATTCTTTGGATTTCTGAGAAATTATTTCAATTATTTGAGAATTCTTAGAGAAAATCCCAATTATGACATCAATTGTCTGTTTCTTACAGTTTGAATAGCATTGGATTTGAATGAAAAAACAATAAGAGTTGGGAAACTCAATAAATGACACGAAAAACCCGTATTATTATAGAGAAAAATAAAAGAAAAATAAAGAGAGAAATGAGATTCAGAGGAATACTTGCCGTCGAGTAATGACATTATGGCATAAATGGTGTCTTGGATTAGAGCATCATTTGATCAGCGATTGGACACCAATTGAGAGCTGGTTTGGAGACAATTTCAGTGACATCTCAGCTGAGCTCAACCTAAAGAGCAAAGTATACACAATATTCTGGAGTCGAGTCTCAGCTCTGCTCTCATCTGCTATTCAACGCAATTCACAGACATTTTGGTGAGTATTGCGCCGAAACTCTCTCCACAGCCAACATCAGTCACATCGCAGCCAACCCTGTGTTCAGTGAATGCCATCCCCATCGCAATCCCAAACCCAAGCCCTAACCCAAGGCCACACCACTTGTCTCTCTCTCTCTCTCTCTCTCTTTATTTTTCTTTTATTATTCTCTATAATAATACGGGTTTTTCGTGTCATNCTCTCTCTCTCTCTCTCTCTCTCTCTCTCTCTCTCTACAACCGGAACTGTTGACTGAATATTGATTTTTTGTTTGCAGTCCAACAGAGCTGTTCTCTCGTCGACTCAATTCATACTGAAATGCATTCACAATATTATATTCAATTCAATATACGCTTCCTTCACATGAAATCATATTTAAGACAATATTCTTCGAAATAGAATTCAATTCAATTCGACAAAGATTTGTGTTTTCAATGGGAATCCCGTTTACATTCAATTCATGCAATTCATGCGCAAACAAATGATTTGGTCCACAGAACTGATGACCAAATTTTGGCTCATTTTTTAGTTATTTTTCCATTTCATTCAAAACACTATCTCTTATAAGGAGAACGACAATACAATACACAGAATATCTGCCGTTAATCGAGTTTTTCAAAAATATTTCTCTCTTTCTCTCGATTCCGGAGTTCAGGTATTATTGATTTGTTTGTTATTCCAACTGACAGTTCGTTAAGGACTTAATGAAACTTTGAGACTTCAATCACTTCTTTGCGTTTTAGTCGCTTCTGACACCACTTCATGTATAGATCAATACAACACAGTCTGACAATTGTCTCATTTGTCAAATCCAATCATTGCTTTAACTCAATACTAAATTCATTTTTGTGTTCAAAACTTGTGTCTCAAAACTCATTTGATTGGAATTAACACTGAAGTTGGGCTTAAAGTTAATTTGTTTGAATATTTTTATTATGCATTAGTAATTAAATACACGGAAAATGATTTATTTTGTTCAATAAATTGTAATTCTTGTGTACTATTCTCTCTAATTATGATAATTTGAATGCAATTCTGTCGTTCGGATCAATAAATTGAATGAATTGTCTTTAAAAGACATTCATTAGTTTTATTGCCAACACAGAGTCAAAACAAATTATACGCAAGGTTAATATCAATAAAAGGTCTTAAATGACACACTTTTCTATTTTCTTTACAAATTAGTATTCAATTAATTCATTCGTCAGATTCTTGTGCCCTTTGTTTCAAAAAGTATGGACTAAATAGTTATGATTAGACTTGAATCAAATGTTTATGAGTAACAAATACCTTACATTTCATTATTAAAAACTATTTTCATGTTAAATAAACTCTATTTTATTGGAAATCAATTTTGCCATAGAACGACTTTTAAAGTTTGAATATATATATTATGTTGTTTGCAAAATAAACCATTGAATTATGAATAAAGTGAGTGAGTGAGTGTGTGTGTGTGTGTGAGTGAGAGAGAGAGAGAGAGAGAGAGAGAGAGAGCACAGAATATAATACACAGAATAAATAGCTGTGCTATTTTTCACAAGTAATCTGAAAATAATGAAAAATGAAATTAAAGTAATTTTATACGTTTAGAAGAGATTATTGAATATCAATAAATGAGTGCTTAATACTGGGTTTAAACGTTGTTTGATAAATAGACGATTGATATTGAGATAAATTCTCCCTAATTTTTAGGTCTTAACATAATTTAACGTATAAATCAATGTCAGAAAAACACTTTTAAGAAACAAAAACCGCAAAATATATAAAAACACGAGTTCTATGTGTTTAATGCTTTTATGTGTTATTGGCATCAAAACAAAAATAAGAAAACCTTATATTCAATATCTTTCTAAATATAAACCAAAAATGCAAATCTAAGAATCCTCTCAGAATCAAAGATTTTTCTGTGATTTTAGCATAACTTTAATTTACAGTTAGGTTTAGGAAAAAGTTTCACTCAATTCGCTAATGATTTCAATTTATAGCGTTTACTTTTGAAAGGATAGAAACGATTATAATTTAAGTGAAATATAAAATGAAAGAAATGAATGTTTTCTCCAGAATATCACAAATCCAATGAAATAGCGACTAAAAGCAACTTTTCCTCATTAATCTGAATGTTATGTAGAAATTACACGAAAGCGCTGTTTGTGTCTATGTTTATATGTTTTTCACTATTAAAGGCATACAATTAAATTGCAATCTTTCTTTATCTAGATTTTGATATCATTTAGTTCAGCATCCAATGCTTTGAACATAAATCTTACGTCTGTTTTATTAGTTTATAACAAAAAGATTTTTATCTAGAAAAATGTTGCTTGAAATCAAAATTGAAACTTTCAAATTAAAAACTTGTGTTCTCGTCTATCGATTTTTAGTATTCATTAAAAGTATTGATTTTAACTTGAATTTCTAAAATATTCTTTTAATATCTTATAAACAGTTATATAACTCATATGTTGTATGTATTTTTGGCTTATATTTGCGATTAGTTTGGTTTTGTTGAGTGTAAGTTGACTGATGTCGACATCAATATAATATTGATTTTAACTCAACGCTTGAATTAGATTAGAGGAGAAAGTGCTTAAACTATTGATTTAAGGAATCCACACATGCTGTAAGACAACTGCTAATTGATTATCATATAAATTGAACCTTTCTTCAAAATACCGGTATTTGAATTTAAACTTTCAAATCAATTAGTCACTAAAAATAATTATATGTAAAATAAACCATGTTGAAATTCTTATTCATTGCAAATTTTACAGTACAATATGATAATAGGATTAAGAGTTAAAAATATTAATCTCATTCCTAAATATAAGACAATATTTCTATATTTAAAACAAAAGAGAATTTTCTTTTATATAATAATTCTTGAGTCGCTATAGCTTTAAGTCATATGAACTGAATTTTGTAAAATAAAACACAATATGTATTCAATAAAATAGATTTCAAAATAGAGTTCTCTCTAACTTTTATGAGCGGAAGATAAATGACAAAACATTACTCAACAAATACGTTAAATTCTTTGAGATTAATAAAATTTTTAGTTTCTATTTATATGAAGAATTCATTTTGGGAATTGTATTTAAAATACTATTTGTTTTGAGAAAAAGTGCGAAAAGATTGAAAAGAATTTCAATTCTCGGAGCAATTGGTTGTTAAGATTACTCTCACGAATGGCTTTACATAAACTTTCCATTTGAACGAACGCTGCAATTATTTTCTCTATAAATAGTCTCTATTTATAACTATTCTCTTAATACAAAAACATTGGCCAAACACTGGATCGCAAGCCTACTGTCCACTTGTCTGTCAAAACAAAACTTCGGGCATTTGTCCAATACTGCACTGTATTTGATGACATATTTTGCCTCCCAGTGCACCAGTCTTTCTATCAATCGATAAATTCCTTTTAAATTCAACCAAACCAATAGAACCGTCAGTTTATTGTTTTATGAATCAAAGGCTTAAAACGAAATTATTTTCATTGAATACAAACTATTTTGCAAACATAGCACCGAAACAGTGACTATACTGTAGGAGTGGTCAGTATTTTATTCTTTAAATTAAAACATTCTCTCAATTAAATTGTTATTAAATTCTTGTATTATATTTGGATTAAGAGTTTATTGCAAACAAATGATCGCTTAACAGGAAATAGTGCTGAAAGAGAAGGCATTGAAAGAATTTATTCACTGAACTGACGGTGCATTTCATTATTCAATTCAAAACCTTTGCATTAATTGTGAGGATAAAAGTGTTTGCATTCATATAAATGTGTTTTGCAATCATTTCGTGAATAAGTTTTCAATTATAAAATTACCATTAGATTAGCATTTCATTCAATTATCGCGTAAATCGATAAAACATTTAAGCGGTGTTCAGATATCAATAAACAATTTATTCGTAATAACGATAAAACAATTGCATTTAAAATACATTTCAACTTACTTTTGTTAAACGTTATTAAATAAGGATTTATATCTTTACTCACCGTGAAGAAGTCCTGTAGTGAGTAAGCTCTAAGTGCATTAACAGCTGTTTTATTGTAAGTCTGCGGAGAATTCATTACTAAACGAAATACTTTTTGAATTTGGATTGAGTTTCAGTGCAATCAAAACAACACTAATATAGTGCCCAATGAGCCGACACTTCGCTAACATTATTTTGAGAACCAATTACGTGATGACAATGTATTCCTCTTTTGTCATTAAAATTATATAATAAATAGTCATTAGTTATGAACTAAATTAACAAATTGTGAATAAATTGTGTTCTCTATGTACAGAGAAAAGACAACAAAATATTTGGATTCGTTTCATAAGAAATCGCTATTCGTATCAAAGATCAAGGCATTCAAATCGGGAGCTCAAAGTTCACGTCTACCGAAGCAGATCTGGCCAGACCTACGATCGCAGACATCTTCACCACCATTTTGGCCGCTTCTTCCAAGTTGTCGCACGCGAGGATCCGCAGACCACTGGCCGCTATCAGTGTCTTCGCGTCGTCCACTTGAGTGCCTTTGCATTGAATCAAGCGATGAGTTTATGAGACAATTGCTGTTAAATGAGGAAAAAGTGTGCAAACCTTGAAGTCTGATGACAATCGGGATCTTGAGGGCCAACGTCTTGGCGGCGGCGATCACTCCTTCGGCAATCACATCGCATCTGGTTTTGGATGAAATTCATAGTGAAGTATAGAAAACGAATGAATAATCTCTTAGTTATACAGTATTTCTACTCATTTTGTAAAACCGGTAGACTTTCCACTACTCACCGCATGATTCCGCCGAAAATGTTCACCAAAATCGCCTGCACTTTGGAGTCCGCGGAAATCAAGCGAAACGCTTCGGTCACCTGTTGAGCGGTGGCGCCGCCGCCCACGTCCAGAAAGTTGGCCGGATTTCCGCCGTGCAGTTTGATTATATCCATCGTCGCCATCGCGAGTCCCGCGCCGTTCACCAGACACCCGATGTCGCCGTCCAGAGGGATGTAATTGAGATTATACTTGGAGGCCGTGAGCTCGCGTTCGTCCACTTGTGTCATGTCTTTGCGCGCAAAGATGTCTTTCTGTCGAAACTCGGCGTTGTCGTCGAACCGACACTTGGCGTCCAAACACAACACCTGTCCCGTCGTGTCCTCAATCATGGGGTTGATCTCAATCATGAGCGCGTCCTTCGAGATGAACACTTCGTACAGTTTGACGATCAGATCGACGGCCTGTTCGTGACTCGACGGATGGAAACCCAATTTCTTGACCACCGAAGAGGCGATGTCGTGGTCGATGCCCTTCACGATGTCGATGGGCTGAGTGACGATGAGTTCGGGCGAATCCCTGGCCACGTCCTCGATGGCCATTCCTCCCTGCGATGACGCGATAATCACGGGTCCATTGAAGGCCCTCTCCATCATGAGCGTGAAGTAGTATTCGCGTCGCGGAAACACTCTCTCGACGATCATCACTTCCGAGCACTTGATCCCCTTCTCTCCCGTCTGTGCCGTCACCAGAGTGTGGCCTAAAGAAGGCGCCAAACCATTCAAAGAGTTATTTATAGATTTCGTGTCAAATGATTAGTGAATAAGAGATAAATTGTGTGAAAATATTGATAACAAACGGAAAATAAACAAATTGTTTAAGACTTTGGACTTTGGATATCAATAGAGTTGGCGTCAAATGAGTGCAAGAAATGAGTGATTTTTGGGAAATCATGTCAAAAGAGGTGTCAAAGAGAGCCTCAACTTTGGTCTCAACTTTTGGTGACATTTGAGGGAAACGTACCCAACATTTGACGGGCGATGTCGTGCACCTCTTCGATAGAGTAGACCAGTTTGACGCCGCCTTTGAGGCCCGAACTGAAGTGTCCGCGACCTCTGCCGCCGGCCAACACCTGCGCCTTCACGACGTAGTCACTGGAGGAGAGTTTGCGGGCGACCTCCATGGCCTCCTGGGCGGTCCGCGCCACTCCAAACTGCGGCACATTCACGCCCCCCGACCGCAACACATCCATAGCCACGTGTTCGTGAACATTGAGACCACGACACGCCGTCACCACTCGGGCGCCACGTCTTTGCAACAGAAGGCGAGGAATCGCTTTGAGACCAAACATTGTCTGAAATCCAAATCAAATGTCTTTCACTTCAATGACAGTCTCTGAGAGTTGAGAGACGCCGACAGCGCATGCCTTCACTCTTTGCTGAGTTTTCAAACACCTCTGAAGCGCTCTTTAAATGTTCGCAAACATCGGATCAAATCCATTGTCACGTATTCTGTGGACATATTCGGTGTAAATGTTGTGCAGACAGATAGACAGACAGACAGACAGACAGACAGACAGACAGACAGACAGACAGACAGACAGACAGACAGACAGACAGACAGACCCTTCAAATGACAAATTCAAATAAATAGTAGAATCTTGTTTCCAATGTATCAAAAATGTACTGTATCAAACAAAGTATTAGAACTATAGAAATACAAATTACCGTTAGTTAATGAAATGACATTTATTTGATGATAGTTTTATGAATAGAGAAACACTTTATAAATTAAATGAACTTTCATCTAAACTTAACCGACGAGTGAAAACAAATAGCAATTAAACTTTTGAGACTTTAGATTTAGAGTTACATATTATTGTCATTTTTGTTTGTTTTTAGAATTAGAAATTCCTAAACTTGTGATATATTTCATAACATTTATGATAGTGATCTGGATCAGTTGTCCAGTTACTGGACTCCAGTATATCCTTTATTTTGAACTAAAATTTACAAAAAAAAGTTTATCCGAAACTTTTCAGAACTTCATACGAATTATACAAAAGTTTATAGAAATGTCTCTAAACGTGATTTCATTTGTAAGAATTGAACATTAGTTCAAAATCAACTTATAGTACGTATAAGTAATACAAAACCTTTAATACAGAATAAGTGTCAAAAATTTTGACTCAAAATGCAAATTCTGTCAAATTCTTGAAACCATTTTTCTATGAAACTACAGAATCTGTGTTTAATAGTTGTCTTAACTGTTTGCGAATCAGTGTCCGCAACAGACCAGTTGTCTATTGGAAATGATGTCTTGATTACATGATGGAAGTGGTGGTGATAGCGATTGCGGAAGTGATTGCTTCAGACATCTGCGTCTGTGGTGAAGAGTCCTCTGAAGACAATCAGCAAACGGTCCCTCAAAACGAGTCTATGTTTACAAACATAGCGTTGAATTGCGAGTGAAAAGTGTTTTGAATAAAAACTTTTAATTGTGTTTCGCTTTAACTGTCATTTGGTTTCCGATCGCAAGTCATGTCTTCGGAAGAGGTTCTTGTGCTGCGAATGAATAACGAAAAACTCTTGAAAACAAACCGACAGTTGACTGAAATGTTGAGACTTATGGACAAGTTTCGGGTTTTGTTGATATCAATGGTCAACAACTGTAAGTGTAATACAGAGACAAACATCAGAATCAGATTCAATCTTCTGATGGAAGAGTATTATCACTTGAATGACACCAATCCTCTCAAGAGTCACGATCTTAAGAGCAGTCCATTGAGTGCACCGGAAGACCACAGTTGTCATCAAATTGACGTCAATTCCGTTGTCTCTAATCTCTTGACACAAACCGAAGACAATGTGAGTAAAGAGTGCTTTGAATCTCATCTGAAAGTCATTTGCCGTCTCTTCAGAGCCTTTGTCTCGACGCTAATGACAACCCATTGATAACGGAAGTGATAGCACACGACACGAGCGGACAAAAGCAAAGTATCTTCGATTCGATGACCAAATCAGAGGACGGGAAGGACTTGGATCTGCGCGAGAGAATCGCTCGTCTGAAGCGATACGTCGCGCGACCGAAGATCTACTCGCGAACGAAGAGGTCGGAGGAGGAGAAGACTGACCACTCGTTTGCGTGCATTTGGCCCGGATGTCAGAAACAGTTCAAAGTGAGTCACACTTCCGCCCGTCTGTGTCTTCTTGTGACCTCTTGTGGGCGTGTCTTTAGGCCAAAGTGGATATGAAGACGCATTTGTGGCGCCACACGGGAGACAAGCAGTACGTCTGCGAATGGCCCGGTTGTGGCAAACGGTTCCCAATCAAACGCAATCTGACGCGACATCGCGAGACGCACGAAGGCGTCAAAGGGTTTGCCTGCGATTGGCCGGTAAGTGTTGGCGCGATCGGTGGCCTCGCGTTCACTAATCGGCGCTTATTTGTCGCGAAAGGGCTGCGAATACAAGTCGTGGTATCCGCAGGGCGTGAGAGCGCACCGGAAGCGCCACACCGACGAAAGGCCCTATAAATGCGATCACTGCGAGTGGACGTTCCGTCAGAGCCATCACCTGAAGGCGCATCTGCTTAAACACACCGGTGAGACACCACTTCTTCGGCCATAAGTCTAACTCTTGTCTGTTGTGAATGTCAGGTGAGAAGCCTTTTGAATGCGTTCACGCGGGATGTGAGCAACGCTTCCAATCACGACAGGCCATGAAGTTTCACTGCCAGCGGACGCACCGACAAAAGGCCGCTCTTTGACCGCAAAACGCGATTAATTGTTATGTTTTGTAAAATAGTTTCATTTGAAAGCATTTGTAAATTAATAGACAATCCCTTAAATCGCTGTTTGTTTTCAATAAATATTTGCTTCAATTGTGGCTTAAATTGAGTCCAATTTAGGCCACTCTGAAGACATGGAAGCGATCGAAGCGGAGAACAATCGTCTGAAGCAATTGATTGTGATCTTAGAGCAGATATCAATGGATTTGATGCCAATTGTGATGAAATGCAAATGTGATTACAATTCAGTTAAACTCAAAACAAAACTAAATGTTTTGAAACAAAAATACGATTTCTTGAAACAAAGCGAAGACTACCACAAGAGTGGCGACAAGTGTGACATCATCGACAAGATCAACAGGTGTGGACAAAGTGTGTCCAAAATTATCATCAAAAGAATCGACGAGTTTGACGACACCTTTGCTAGCGATGAAGACAAGAATCGGGAGACAATGAATGACAACCGATGTGTGACCACAAGAAGAAGAGGCCGACGGCCAAAGATGTTGTCCACAGACGGTGATCAACGAGCGGACCAAAGTCAGACACATTGATTGACCATTAATTGATTTAAACACTGTTTTCCTGTCTTTAGATTTGAATAAAGAATTTGGTCTTAAAATCAGACGAAAGTACGAAAGACTTGGCGTCAAGAAAGAGGTTCCGAGTTATCGGCAAAAGATCAACAAAAAGCGAAACGAAAGCCAAGTTCTGTGCGATGAGTGCGGGAAACGGTTCAGAGATACCTATGAACTCAAGTTCCATATGTGGAGACACACAGGCGTTAAGCTCTTTAAGTGCAACTGGTATTATGATTACTACCGGTGCTCTCGCTTCTGCCCCTCTAATCACTTTGTTTGCATTTAGGCCGGGATGTGACAAAGAGGTGGGTGGAAGTGTTTTGGACTTTGAGTTTGTCTCAAATTTTCTTTCCGACATACAGTACACAACCAAATACTTAGCAAAACACCAGAAGACACACTCAGACCCCAAACGCTTTGTTTGTCAACACATTGACTGCAAAGAGTCGTTTGAGTCGAGCCAAGAGTTGTCGCAACACTTCGAGCACTTCCACGGCGGACACAAACCCTTTAAATGCAATTTCGTGGGATGTCTGCAGGAATTCACCGCAAAAGCCAATCTCTTGCAACACCACAATTGGGTCCATTCCGACGTGAACTACCCGTGCGAATGGCCGGTCAGTACAGTCCATGTTTTGTCCACTCTTTGACTCACGATTGCAACCAATGAAGGGCTGCGAAGATAAGTTCAAACGCAAGAGTTTACTCAACACTCACATGAGCAGCAAACACATGGGAGACATGAGGTACAGGTGCCAAATACCCGGCTGTCAGTTCAAGTCGTGTCACAGCAAGTCGTTCGCCAGACATAAGTTGATTCACTCGGGAGAGAAGCCGTACCCGTGCCAAGTGGACGGCTGTACGGCCCGTTTCCGACAGTCCCATCAGGTGAGACAGCATTGACCGCAAACACTTGCAATCAACTGATCCGTTGTCTCGACAGCTGAAGAGTCATCAGATGACACACACGGGAGAGACGCCCATCAGTTGTCGGGTTTCCGAATGCGATCAACGGTTCAAAACGAAACGAGTAATGCTTTCACATCTGCAGAAGTTTCACGGAATCGACGTTTGATTTGTTTTCCAGAGTTTTATTGATTTTTAAGCGATTTATAGATTTTATAAATTATAATAAAGTTATTGAAAAAGCTTTGCGTTATTTGTGTTGAGAAACGATTGCAATGTTTTGCAAGACTTTTAAATGCATTGAATGCGTGACAGTCTGTCAGACATGAGTCACCACCAGATGCCCGAAGACCACCAATTGAGACAATACTTCGCGGCCGTCGACAAAGACCGAAGTGGTCTTATAAACGGCGCCGAACTCCAGTCCGCCCTCTCTAACGGCACGTTCAACGCCTTCAACTTAGACACTGTAAGCACTTCCACCTCTTAGACTAAGAGCTCTTGAGACTCATGTGTTGATGATGATCATCACCATTGAAGGTGCATCTCATGATATCCATGTTCGACACCAACAAGAAGGGAACCATCAGTTTGGAGGAATTCGGTCGTTTGTGGCGATATATCACCGATTGGTTGAACTGTTTCCGATCCTTTGATGCGGACAACTCGGGATCAATTGACGCCAAAGAATTAGCGACAGCTTTACAGTCTTTCGGCTATCGCTTCTCTCCCGAGTTCTACACGAGTCTGTCGACCAGATTCGAGGGTCGCATCCATTTCGATGACTTTTTAAAGATATGCATTCATTTGCAGTCTTTAACGCAAGAGTTCCGCAAATACGACACCGATTTGGACGGCGTTATCACCGTTTCCTACGAACAGTTCATTTCTCTGGTCTTTGCCATTGTTTTGCGAAGACATTGAAAATGAATTCAAAATCAATTGTTTATATATAAGGAAATGATTTCATTCATTGCATTGAAAATTGTGTTAATTTTATAAATAAAATCCATTGAAAAACACGAGACTTGCGTTCATTTGAATTTCCTTTCATTCCTTAACGGCTTTTATTTCATTCTTTGCGATGACTCTCTTCAAGACTGTTCTCGTTTTGTCCACACTTTTGGCGCCAATATCTTCTCAGTGTCTTCCGTCGCGAGTGGACGCCATCGCCAATCTCGCCAACGGAACCGTTTTCGTGGCTTCCGAGCAATTCTATTGGTTCCTCAATAACCAAACTATGACTGAAACCAGAAGAGGACGGATAGCTGATCTCATTCCCGGAATGTCTTCGTTGAAATTGGCGGTCAGTCTCAGGACTTCCGAAGAGAGCAAACCCACGGAAGTGCTCTTCTTCCAGACGGTGAGTCCAATGAGTGTTCATTGAGACAATAATTGGGAATTTGTGATCAAGTTTGAAGAAAATCGGTTCAAATACATGATTTACGCGAAGAACAAGTGGACAGACGGTCGACAATATGTGACAGAGTTTATGTGGAAAGTGGCCAAAAGGAAAGTCACTTCGGATGCGTTGAGTCAAACGCAAGTGTTTCTTCTGTACTTCAAAGATCTCGGGAATCCCGTCCTTTTGATGGCTTTGAGTGAGTTTTAGGTGTTTTGTCAGTTAAGCACTTATTGGTCCGCTTTTCGCAGACAATTCAGCCGAAGCTTATTCTGTGACACTTCCCAGCAATGAGTGGACACGAGTACACCACGACAGACGAGGACTCGAAGCCATATCCAAAAAGCCAATGGCGGACAGTATTTATGTGAAAGATCCCGAAGAATTCAATGTCTCGTACGCTGTCTTCTCAGGCAATCAATACTATAACTGCAAAATCAAAAGCGTTGGCCAAAACCAAAATGCAGAAGAAGAGTGCGATTCTCGCAGAGAAAACATCAATAAATGGATTCCTTGTCTTTCAAAACCGCCGCCATTACCGCCGAAATCGCAAACAGCTTTCAATCTAACGAATTGGAGGAATAATTTGATTTGGATTTTAGTGGCCATTCTTGTGGCCGCACTCCTTATCCTCGTTGTTGTGATTATTGTCTATTTCTGGTATTTGAAGAGAAAAGCAGACAAAAAAAGTGAGAATTTCTTAATCAAAAACTTTTTTGATAAGAGAAAGACTTGTTTCAGAAGTATCTCCGAAACCAATGCCGAGAATAGAGGAGGAAGAGAAGAGAAAGACGGACGACACGGATGACACGCCCGAAGGCCAGGGAGAGGACAAGACACCGATGCCTCGAACGAGTGAGAAAATGCAAATGGCTGTCAATAAACCAAAGCCTAAGGCTGAAGAGTCGCCCGAAGAAGGTGAAAGCGCTGGCGGCCGGAAGTTCAAGAAAAAAGACAAAAAGAAGGGATTCGAGAAAAATGTTAAGGAATTTGGAGAACTTTTTTCTGAAAACTCTAAATCCAAGAAAACACCGCAAAAGCAAAAGAAAAGAGAAAAACAGTTGAAACCAACGGAAGAAACCGAAGAAACGGATCCCGAATCGAAGGCCCAATCAAAGGCCAAAGTGGACTCAAATATCGACGAAAAAGCGGTCGACGAGAGAGTGAAGCAATTGTTGAGAACAGACTCTTCAGCGAAAGGCACTAAAAATGATGACAGAGTGAGACAATTGCTGTCATGGGATCCCACGAAGAATTGAAATTTATTCAAAACATTATTTTTTATTTTACTTTTGGATTATTCTAATAACAGTTTTTAATAATAATTTTTGCAATTAATAAACAAATTCTGACAAAATAATAGGAGTTTCCTTTCAAAGCATTACTTCCGGTTTTCCTCTCATTTCTTCTGCTCTTTGTTCTCCTGTTTGTTGTGTTCTGTGTTTGTCTTCTGCGTCTCGAGTAAAGACAACTGCAAAGAGAGCGCCAACTGTTCCTCTTCTGTCATAAAATTTGGATCACTTTTCGGTTGACTCGAAATTTTGCTCTCTTTATGATCAATGATTTTTGCCGCAGAATTCCCGCCATTTTTCCCGTCTGTCTTCACACCCGACGTTAACAACGATTCTTGAAGAGCCTGCTGGAGATCGGCGTCGGCGGTCGACAACTTCATGGCCAGAGCGAGTTCGGGGTCAGAGTTTTCGTTGACGAGAGACACGTTTCCAGAGTCCGAGAAAAGGGGAGATTCGGCCAAAAAGAGGTTCATTTGTACGCCTTTAGGAACGACCGATAAATGCGAGTCTTTCCCCAATTCGCCGACAAATTTGCGCAGAGTTTGGATTTGAGGCTCGATTTCTGGTCCGAAACAGATCACAGCCATCGAGACGTTCGCTTTCCGCACGTTTTTCGTCAAAACCTCCCACTCGTTGTCCTCCTCTTTGAGGGAACTGCCGATGAAGACAATGATGCGCTTCCGGTGGTTGCGCTGATCCTGGACGCCGATGTTCTTCAGCACGAGAAGCGCTGTCTTGATTGCGGCGCAAACACTGACGCCGACGTCCTTGAGATCAATGGCGTAGAGTTTTCGCATGACATCGATCTCGGAGTTGGTCAGCGTTTGGACGGTCTGGTGGTCGGCGAGCGTGAGGAGAGCGACGCGGTTCTCGGGACGCGCGGACAGGATGTGGTGGCACAGGATGTTGACGCACTCCTTCTGGACGGCCAGGCGGTTCGGCCGGAAGTCCTCATTGCGCTGGAAGTCAGAGTTGTCGACGCAGACCACGGAATACTCGATCGAAGAATTTCTGGCCATTTATTTGTCGTTTGAATTCAAATACTCAACAATCGATAATTGAAATCATATTTATTTGTAATGAAAATCTTGATATAAAACATAATTCTTATCATAAATGCTTTGAATAACAATTAGTCGTTCTCTTCATAATTAAAACTCATTTAAACTCTCAATGAATTCGTGACTCAATTCCGGACATAAAAACAACTAAAATGTGTTTCACTTAAAATGCAAACAAAACTAATAATGATTTAATTGAACATAAATTATTTGCCGTTAACGGCCGCCCCATAGCCCACGAGAAGAGTGTGTTGAGAGCCGGCGGACACTGACGCGAACCGCGTCTCGTCGGCCAACACTCCGCGCACTCGCGTCGGCACTTCGATGTCCGTAAAGTCCTGCGAACCGATGTGTTTGGAGCCCTGACCCCAGCCGAACACGTGACCCGAGGCCGTGATGGCCAGCGAGCAGAACTCGCCGCACGCGACGCGCAACACCTTCTGGTCGCCGAACGCCGAGCGGGGAATCAGTCGCGGAGTGTCGACCGTCTGGTCGCCGGCGCTGTCGCTCTTGAAGCCCAGTTTGCAGTACGTGTTGGAACCGCACGCAAACACCTGGCCCTCCGAGTCGAGGGCCAACACGTGGTGCTGACCGTTGGCTATCATCTGGACGTTTGCCGGCATTTGCGGCGATTTGATTGGTTTTAATTCGATGATGAGTTTGAGACTGGTTTGCGATTCGTTGGGATCGGCGTTCGTCACTTCGACGCATCCGTCGCTCTTGAATCCCAACTGATGGTAGTTATTGAGTCCCCAGCCGTAGACATCGCCGTCAATGGACTTGGCGTAAGACGACCAGTGATTGGCCCACACCTTCTCGATGACGACGCCGTCGGCGCCAAAGTGCACTTCCTGTGGCTCCAGAAACAACTTCCGGTTCGTCTCCACGGACTGCAGGTCTCGACTCTCGATGCGTCCCAACTGTCCTTTCGATCCCTCGCCGAAACTCAACACTTGGCCCTCGTCTGTGAGCAGCAGAATGTGGTGACAGCCCGACGCGATGTCCACCACTTTGCTCTTCACGTCCACGCGTTTCGGAACAGCTGTTGGCCTGTAGTCGGCGCTGCCGTCGCTCTTCAGACTGTCGACGAAAAGACCCAACTTTTTGGACTCATCTCTGCAGACAAACCACTGATTAGACTCCGAGATAACAATGACTGACAAGAACTCACTTGAAGTTTCCCCAAACGAAGACAGAACCGTCTTTGCAGAGGACACACGTATGCATGTCTCCGGCCGTCATTTTGATCACTTCCGGCAGTCCGGCGATGGCTCGCGGCGTTCGGCACTCCTTCTCTTCGGAGTCGTCCTCTTCGATGCTGTCGTCCGTCTCGTCAGCCATTCGGGTGTCTCTCCCGAGCGCCGAGTCGTCATTACAGCCGAAAGTAATCACTTTTCCCGAAGACGTCAAACAACACGAATGCATTGCTCCGCAAACGACGGCAACCGCGGAGTCGATCGCATTGTTGTCTTTATCCTTCACAACCGACGGCTCGTTCGGCCGAACCTTCACTTCATTCAAGCGCTTCTGTCGTAAACCCAATTCGCCGGCAATCTCTTCGCCGAAAGAAAACAGTTGTCCCGAAACCGGCGGAACCGAAGGCATGACGAAACGACTCACGCGCTGCCTTTTGCTGGGTTCCTCTTCCGCCGAATCGACATCTCTTTCGCTTTCCTTCCTCTTCAGTGACTCTGAGCTCGAATCCATTTTCTCTTCTTCTATGACTGTTATTTCCTCTTCAATCGGCTTTTCTTCCGAAACCTCTTCGCTCTTCTCATTCACCACTACTTCCATCACTTCTTCGGTCGGTGTCTTTTCTGCTGTTTCTGTTATCTGCGGTTCACTCTTCTCTTCCACGACTTCTTCGCTTTTATCTTGCGTTTCATTCACTTCTTTCACTTCTTCGACAACTTTTGTGACTTTCGTCGAAGTCTTCGCCGCTCTCTTCAAAACAGGTTTCGATTGCTTCGGCTTTTGTTTGGAACTCTCTTTCGGAATCTCTTCGTTAACCGCTTCTTTGCCAATCACTTCTTCAGTCGCTTTTTCTTCGATTACATCACTCTTTTGCGGTTCAATCACTTCTTCGGCAACTTTTGTCTTCCTCTGAAGCCTCGGTTTCGTCTCTTTCTTCGCAACTTTTGATTCCGGTTTTGTCTCCAGAGTTTGCGGCTCTTTCGGTGACTCTTCTTCGGCCACCACTTCCTCGACAGGCGGCTCGTCGGTTGGCTTCTTCTCGCCTCTGGATCTGGTGGTCTTCTGGACGCTCTTCGCGACCGCCGGTTGTCTCTCTTCTGCCGTCGGTTTGCGTTGACTTCTAGTGTTTCGCGTTTCTGTTGTTCGCGAAAAAGGGGTTCAAAGAGCGACCAAATCAGACAAACACATCGCTTACCTCTCGCCGCACTCTCTTTGACGCTCTCTTCGGCCGCAGCGCCTCTTCGAAGCCGTTTGGGCGCCGACTGAGTCGCCAACTCTTTCTTCTTGGCCGTCGTCTCTTTCTTGGCCTTCGGTTCGCTCTTCTTGGGAGTGGTGGGAGGCGGGGGTCGGGAGGGCGGTGCTCCGTCTCCTTCCGTATACTTCTGTCCACTTCTGGTCCGCATTTTTGGCCAACAATTGAATCAAAGACTAAAATCAAAGACTGACTGTCGGCTCAGATATGTTTCGACACGTGATTCGCTATACATTGCAAACATTGCGTACACTTTGCGCTCAAATTTTGTAGACGTTTTGCATTCACTTTATTGGCAATGAGAGTACAAATGAGGTTGGCTTCTTCTCGCCTCTGGATCTGGTGGTCTTCTGGACGCTCTTCGCGACCGCCGGTTGTCTCTCTTCTGCCGTCGGTTTGCGTTGACTTCTAGTGTTTCGCGTTTCTGTTGTTCGCGAAAAACGAGTTCAAAGAGCGACCAAATCAGACAAACACATCGCTTACCTCTCGCCGCACTCTCTTTGACGCCCTCTTCGGACGCAGCGCCTCTTCGGAGCCGTTTGGGCGCCGATTGAGTCGCCAACTCTTTCTTCTTAGCCGTCGTCTCTTTCTTGGCCTTCGGATCGCTCTTCTTGGGAGTGGTGGGAGGCGGGGGTCGGGAGGGCGGCGCTCCGTCTCCGTCCGTATACTTCTGTCCACTTCTGGTCCGCATTTTTGGCCAACAATTGAATCAAATGGCGTTTTCTGACTGACAGCCGAGTCTATACAAAGCTGTGCACTAAGCGATATGTAACGTTTGTAACGCATGTGAAACGCGAGTTTAAAACATCTGCAAAACGTAAGTGAAATAACCGTTACTCTCATGTTTACAGAGAAATATACATAAATAACGTGAAGTGACGGCTATGGCTATGCGTTTGGATGGCATTTGTCGGTATGAAATCTCATCGTCTGTTTCGTTTGGAACCTATTGTGCGGTCAAAGAGACGTCAAAGAGAGGCGATACTGTTGGCCTTGTCTGGAAGCCAGCGTCAGGCCTGTGTGTTTGCCGAAGAGAGGGCTCACGAAGTCGTCTACGCAGAAGTTCACCAAGAAGACAGCCTTTGCGGTGAGCGTAACGCTTGTGGACATGGGGACACGGAGTGAGCAAAGAGTGAGCAAAGAGTGAGCAAAGAGTGAGCAAAGAGTGGCACAGACTTGAAGGGCTTTTCTCCCGTGTGTTTCATTTTGTGAATCCGCAGTTTGTTGTGAGAACTGAACGTCGAGTCGCAGCCTATGGACAGACGGCGTGAGAGAGAGAGAGAGAGAGAGAGAGAGTGTTTGTGTGGGACACCTACCCGGCCAATCGCAGTTGAGTTTGCCCTCTGCGGCGGAAGGGAGGGAAGGGTTAGAAAGCGAGACAACGGCTGAGCAGTGATTGGTTACCCGTTTGGTGGACTTCGCAGACGTGAATGTCTGTCGCGAGAGAGCAGTGAGAATTGAAATCAAGTTTTGCGCGAATTTATACCCAATTGTTGTTTGCGTTTAAACGCGGAATCGCAGCCTAAGAGCGGAAGAGAGGGTTAATCGCGTTTCCGATTTCCGGTCGACGCACAGCACATACCGGGCAATGACAACCGGAACAGACCTTCGGTCGCAGTCCGGACACACAAACGGCTTCTCTCCCGAGTGCTTCAGCAGATGCGTCTTCAAGTGGTTCTTCTGTCGGAAACGCCACTCGCATTGCGAACACCTGTCGGGGACACGGAGTGAGCAAAGAGTGGGCAAAGAGTGGCACAGACTTGAAGGGCTTTTCTCCCGTGTGTTTCATTTTGTGAATCCGCAGTTTGTTGTGAGAACTGAACGTCGAGTCGCAGCCTATGGACAGACGGCGTGAGAGAGAGTGAGAGAGAGAGAGTGTTTGTGTGGACACCTACCCGGCCAATCGCAGTTGAGTTTGCCCTCTGCGGCGGGAAGGGAGGGAAGGGTTAGAAAGCGAGACAACGGCTGAGCAGTGATTGGTTACCCGTTTGGTGGACTTCGCAGACGTGAATGTCTGTCGCGAGAGAGCAGTTTCTTAACTTTAGTTCAAAACGCGCTTAAATATGGGTTAACAACAAACGCAAATTTGCGCCTTAGCGTCGGATTCTCGCCTTCTCTCCCAATTAGCGCAAAGGCCAGCTGCGTGTCGTGTATGGCCCGCAATCGCAGTGGAAGCGCTTCTCCTCCTGATGAACGATCTGCGAATGAGGCGCGGATTAGAGCGGATTTAGAAGAGTTTTGTTCCCACCTGATGGTCCTTAAGATTGCGCTTCACTGCGAACTGTTGGCCACAATTCGGGAAACTCTGAAACGGGAGGAGTGAGAGGAGAGGGGAAGAGCGAGAGGCGGAGGACTCACGCATTGGAAGGGCTTTTGTCCGCAATGTTTGGCCGCGAAGTGAGCGTTGAGTTCGGGCGAAGAGACGAACGCCTCTTCGCAGCCGTCGTGAAGACATTTGAAGACATTGGGGTCGATGTGAGTCATGTGATGCTTCTTGAGGTAACAGCGGCTCGAGAAGGACTTGAGACACCCTTCGCAGAGACGAGAGTGAGTGGACGGGTAGTGGCAGTGAGAGGCATACCTGGCCAGTCGCACTGGTAGAGTTTGGTGCCGGTGTGGCGCCACTTGTGGTTCTCGAGGTCCTCGCGGTCTCTGAACATGGCGTCGCATCCGGGCTGAGAGACAGCGTATTAGTAGAGCGGAAGGGAAGGCATATATGGCTAACCCATTGGCACTGAAGGCGTTTCGTTCGACTCATAAACACTTCTTTTCCCTCTTCGGTCACAATCTTTCCCTTGCGCTCAGAACACGGCCTCCGAGTGAGTGGGCGTTTGGTCGCGCGTCGCATCCCTTTGGTCTTCAGCTTCTTCGGCGGTCGTCCTCTTCCGCGCCTCGTCTCGCGGTTCTCGTTCTGGTCGTCCTCTTTGGTCAGCAGTTGGCGGCAATCGATGAGCGCATCGATCACTGAGTCGATGAGAGTCTCGGCGTCCGAATCGGCGGTCGAGTCGTCGCTCTCGACGTCGTCTCCGCTCTTCACGTCTTGCAACTGTTGCCGAAAGACAATCCATTTGTTGATGACGTTATCGCGCGAAGAGAGACATTGACAGCGAAGAAGCGCCGATTGCGTCAAAGCGTTCATTTGGGACAACAGACACGCGATTCGCCGATACTTCCGACACTCGCTTCTTAGGCGCGAGTTCTCCGCCAAACAGACGGCCAACGGATCGCTGCTCTCCATCGCAAACACAACAACAACAACAGTGCAGCGCTTTCGGGCCCTTTTGCGCCAAGAGTGCAGCACTGTGTCCTTAGAGCGCTCTGTACATCAAAAGGGCACAAAATAGCGGTATTTGAACCGTTATAATGCATTTTGAATGGGAATCAGTGTCCAGTGAATGACACTTTGATTTGCCGGCACTTAATGTTTGCCTAAAAGACAATAAAGTGTCGAATGAATGGCAAACAGACGACCGAATGGACGCCAAAACAAGTGTTTGCATAGAGTTTGGCGTAAATGAGGAGAATAAGGAAACAAATGCGAGAATTAATTCAAAATTTCAATCGCGAAGTCAATTGAGAACAGGATTTGAGACAAATTCTCGAAACAATACTATTTTGCGGACATTTCTTAACCTAAACCCGACTATTGGACAACAGATTGGAGGAATAGCAGGCAATCATCTCATGGTCTGATAGTTCACTCTGATTAGCGACACCGGCGCTCTTCGGGTGACCACTAGTCGTGTGTCGGCGATGAGTGGCCAACAAAATTCAAGCGATGGACTCCTCGCGTGTGAAGAAAGCGTTGGAAATGAGAGGCGTTTTGGAAATCAAATGATTTTTATTTCACATTCTCTTCGACATCAGAATAGTTGACAAAATGGCGACAATAATAGATTTAGAGCTTGAGTTTGGTTCTTCGCCAGTGTCTCCTTTTGGCGTTGTATCGAATGGAGTTCCCGGTCTTCATACGGATCCATTGAGGGACGGGTCGGTTCTGTCTTTGCTTCTTCGCGAGCTTGCGTTTGATTCGGAACGTCTTATGGGCCGACTGTTGGACACGAGAACAGAGACAGGGATTAAGGGATTAGTCAAAGGATTAGGGATCAGATGGCGAGAAGACAAACCATTTCGTGAGGACTCGAAGACGCGTTTCTCTCAAACGATTGAAACGACGGAAAGGGAAGTGAAGAGAGAGAGAGAGAGAGAGGGAGTCGTCCACAGAATACGTCAAAAAATTGTGTTTTATTTGCAGTAATATTACAATTGATTTACAATTAAATACAAAACAATAAAATATTATAATTAGAGGAAAATCATTGATTTCGGGATCAAAATAATGACAAATAAATCCATTTTAAGCCAATAAGAGCCAAATAATGAAGAGTAAGGCGACCCAAAGGAACACTTTGGAGAGGAACTGGTCCTCAGCGAAGTCCGGGCTGTGCGGAGAGGGCGCGGGTCTGCCGTCGCCGAAGTTGAAAGTCGACGCGAAGAAGCCGAAGGGGAAGGCGCCGATTCCGAAGGACATGTGGAACCCGCCGTCGCCGAAGCCGAAGTTCGGGAATGTTTGCTGTCGTCGAAGACATGGCGTCAGATGAGAGGCAAAGAGAGGCAAAGAGAGCAATGGGTGACACTTACGGCGTTGTATTCGGGTTCCGTTCGCTGGCCCTGAGGTCGCGGTGGGAGGCGTTGGTCGCTGCGGAGGAATCAGAGTTAGAGAGACGAAGACACGAAGACATGAAGACATGTAGAGGCAAACCGCGGGTCCTTTTTGGCGCTTCCCCTGCCGTACAAAGGGATCACTTTATCGCGACTGATGGCGGCCTTACAGACGGGACACGTCTGTCGCGAAGGTTTCGTTTCCAGCCACTGGTGAAGACACGGCCAGCTGTCGGACAAAATGGGGTCACAAATGGATTCGTCGACTGCCGTGGCGTCAGAGCGCGACCTCCGCGGCGGTCGGACGCCAACGACAACGACAGACGACTACTGACCAGAAGAGGTGTCCGCAGAGACTGACGACCGCGTCTTTGGCCGTATCCAAGCAGATGTTGCACTCGAAGTTGGCGTCACTCGCGTTGTCCGCTGTGTTGCCAGAAGTGGATGGCTTCGGGTCGGACGGCGTGTCCGACGAGTTGTGAGACGACGTCGAAGACATTCTTCGAGGTCTTCAGCGAATGTTTGGTTCGTTTGAAAGGAAAACAAAAATGGAATCAAAGATGGAATCGAAGACGTATTAAATGGCAAATCATGTGACACTCTGTCGGCCAATGAGAGCGGAGAGGCTTTAGTTGGCGTTTGAGTCGCTTTTGGCGCCACTTCTGCGCCGTTCGGACGCAAGCAATGAATGACACAAAGTTTGAAAGTTCTTCAGACGAAGAGATTTGATGTGAAGAGTGGTTATAAGAGAATGACTATCACTTGGTTTGCAGTCAACGATCGACACAAGTCTTCAGAAACTGACGAATCATTGAATCATTTATTGAAACTAACGATAAGTATAATACTAATTATATAACTCTTATCGTCCGAACCCTCCGACGACCGCCTGTTGCTGTTGTTGTTGCTGTTGAGCCAACGGTCCGCCGAACGCGCCGTAAGGCATCACAGCCGCCGCCACCTGTTGTTGCTGTTGCTGCTGTTGTCCGACTCCCAGACCCCCGAACCCTCCCAGGGCTGCCTGCTGTTGCTGCTGCTGCTGAGCTCCGAGTCCTCCAAAGCCGCCATAGCCTCCCAGAGCCGCCTGTTGTTGCTGCTGTTGCTGTTGGGCGCCTCCGAGACCCCCAAAGCCTCCCAACCCCAGTTGTTGTTGCTGTTGCTGTTGCTGAGCTGTCAGTCCCCCGAAACCTCCATAGCCTCCCAGCGCCGCCTGTTGTTGTTGAGCTCCGAGTCCGCCGCCGAAACCGCCGATTGCTTGTTGCTGTTGTTGCTGCTGTTGAGCGCCTCCCAGACCTCCGAACCCTCCATAGCCTGCCTGTTGTTGCTGCTGCTGCTGCTGTTGCTGAGCCCCGAAACCTCCCAGACCTGCCTGTTGTTGCTGCTGCTGTGCTCCTAAGCCGCCGAACAGTCCTCCGTAGCCTCCGAGAGCCGATTGCTGCTGTTGTTGCTGTTGCTGAGCGCTTCCCAGAACACCTCCAAAGCCTCCCAACGCTGCCTGTTGTTGCTGTTGCTGTTGCTGTGCGGCTCCCAGACCTCCAAAGCCGCCCAAGGTCGCCTGCTGCTGTTGAGCCGTGAGTCCCCCGAAGCCTCCCAACGCCGCCTGCTGTTGCTGTTGTTGAGCGCCGCCGACGGCCTGTTGTTGCTGTTGCTGCTGCTGAAGAGCGGATCCGCCGGCGAACGCGCCGCTGAACGCCTGGTGCTGCTGTTGCTGCTGATGCTGAGCGCCGAAGTTGGCGAGCGCGGGAACGGCCGCGAGAGTGACCACAAAGACGCGAACGAAGAGAGAAAACATGTTTTCCGTTTGGCTTCTGATTTGCGTTTGCAATGAGTTTGGCTTCGATTACAGGAAATGACTCGAAATGAAAGCAAATCTGTTTTTCTTAATTGCTTTTATTTCCAAAATAACTTATATCAAGACTTTTTTGTTTCAATATTTATTAATTACCAGTGAAAAGGATTTAAAAATAAAATTAGGATAACAGGAGACCATCATTAGGGCTAAGATGTTAAGAGAGATAATTGATTTGATTGTCGTTTAAAAATAACTTATAATTAGACGGAAAACATGAACGAAAACATATTCGCGACGTTATATCTGCCGATTCCCGACTCTCCGACATTCAGACGTACTTTCTTGCCCTTCGGCGCCACCACTGCGCGACAGTCGGCCGACTCGGCGTCGAAGAGTCCTTCGGGACACGTGAGGGTCGGGAAGTCCATGAAAGCGTGCGACACGATGAAGGCGAGCGCGTGGACGCCGTCTTCGCCGCACTTTTGTCGCGCCAAACGCCGCGTGCAGTCTTCCCAATGCCGATACCCGCAGCACACGCTATTGGACGGCAACTCTTAGACTTCTAATAGAGTAAAGATTCAAATACCTCGTGAGCGAGTCGTTGCGGTCGCCGGCGGCGTTCAGAGTCGCGAGATAGCGATTGTTGCACTCATCCTTCGCCTCCCGCGTGGACAACACCTTCTCGTGCAGACACGGCGACGCGCGCAGGAACTCTGGACGGGAGAGAGGGCGGAGTCAGAGAGAGAGCGAGCGCGCGATTGGTTACCGACTTTCGCGTTTCGGTCCCTTCGAACACATGTCTTTCGTGTGATGGAGCACTTGGTCGAGAACCAGACCCGAGACCTCGCGATGCAAAGGAGTTCCGCACTTCTTGAAGTACTCGCGAACGCATGCGCCGAACTTGCCTTTGATTGTACTGCGAAAGGAAGCGGAAGTTGGAGTTGCGGTTGAGAGCAGTTATAGCGTTATTACCCGCAGAGTCGGTCGACGCCGTCAGAGGTCGCGATGATAGCCGTCGGGTTGTCCTGTTTTCCGAGCGCAGAGAGCGGCTCGAGACACTTGTCGACGTCTTTGAGGTGACAATTGGATCCTTTGCCTTTGTTGCGGTTGCGGTTGCGCCGTCTCTGCGCGCGACAGACGTCCGCCAGAAGGAAGAGAAGCGCGAGAGAGATGAGAACTGCGGAAATGGCGGTCAGTGTTGGCGACACTTTTGTTGTACTTACGCTTTGCGTGCATTGCGAGGGAATGGCGATTGTTTGCGCGCTCTTCGCGTCTTTTATCCTGTTCTTGGGTTTTTTCGAAGTCAAGGCCGACAAACAAAACCTCATTTCGCGCGCGCTTTCGAAATCCCAAATCGCGTGCAAAGAGCTCAAGGACTGCCCTATTGTTGACCCAAAAAACAGTTTATTTCAAAATTCTTTACAACTTTTGGTCTCTTTTGAAGAGAAACGCGAAGAAAGTTAACAAATCCATCTCCAGAGAGGCTTTGGTCGCGTCCGGAGGCGCGCAGGCAGTCGTGCGGCGCTCTTTGCACAGAAAGTCGGGCAAATCGGCGCTTCCTTTGCGCACCAAAGTCCGCAGAACGCGCGCGCCTTCGTCTCCGCATTTCGCGCGGACGGCCGGAAGTGCGCAGTCGTCCTCCCATCGGGCGAACGCGCAACACGTGACGTCGATTTGCGCGGAGAGAGGCTGTGATTGGTTCGCGACTAAAGTTGGAATCAATTGATTGCACTTCTCGTGAAACCAGTGCTGCGACAGCACCTTCTCGTGCAGACAGCGACCAGTCATTGTTGCGAACACTTCTGAAAAGAGACAAAACGTCACGAAAAGCGCGCGGAATTCGGTTTCGAAAGAGAGCGACGGCGGGTGCGCGGGAAGCGAGAGCGACGATCGCCCGCAACGCCGCCAAATTAGGGGTCGAAGGGGTGGGGGTTTGGGAAGAGGGTCTGGAGTTGCCAAACGGGGGCTCGACTTGCGTTCCCATGGCGACCGACAAGGCGTCGAATTGCGTGTCCTTTTCGGCGACTCTCGTGACGAAAGCGACGACTGGCGGCCAAAGACGCAAAAGCGAGTCGTCTTCTGATTGGCGCACTTCCGCTTGCAATGTAGAGTCAGCGCGAGAGCCGTCGAAGAGGTCTCGACGCCAAACAGTGAAGAGAGAGAGAGAGAGAGCACAGCGGGTTTGGGCTAAAAATGTAGGGTTGGACTCGGTTTGTGAATTACTCCCCCTTTTCCCCCGGTTTTCATCAAAACAGTGAAACACTCGTTAAAAATGCAAACCTTTTCTGAATTTGGAGTCTTTGGCGCAGATCTCGCGCACGTGACTAATCATGTGATCGATTATGACTTTCGCCAACTCTTTGTAGGCCGGAGTTCCGCAGCGCGCGACGAAGCGCGAGACGCAGCCGAGCACGTCCTCCTCAAGGGATCTGCGCGCGAGAGAGGGTTAGCGGGGGTTAGAGGAGGACTTGAGGGCACTGACCGGCAGAAGTGGTCGAAAAGGCGTTCTTCGGCCACAACTGCTGTTGCGTTCGGGTCTTCGCGGAACCGCTGCAGAGGTCGCGCGCATTCATCCAATTGCGACGAATGACACGCGTGTTCGTTGCGCAGCGGTCTCTGCGCGCCCACAACGGCGGCGGCGATGACGGAGAGGACGACAGACGACGACAGGCGAAAGGCTTTCATTCTTTTGTCGTCTTTTCTCTCCTTTTCTGCGCTTTTATTGCTTTCGAAAGCAATGAATCGCAGCAAAGGTCAGAGCGAGAGAACAATGCGTTTATGGGTTTTGAGGGCAGAGAACGCGCCGACAATGAGATGGCTTTTCCTGTTGTCGCGGTTCCGCTCTCTCGCGCCGCTCATTGTTGTGCAGCCGTTAATTGGGAAGAGAGAGAGCACGCGATCGGAATTGAAAACAATTTCGCGAACTTTCCGCCAATTAATGATTCAAAGTATTATTGAACGCGAGTTCAGCCAAATATCGAAAGCTTTCGAAGAAAAGGCAGTTTTTGTCGCATTTTATGCAAAAGAAGTGCTTTTTATTCACATTTCGTTTCAAAGATTTATTTTTATCACAAAATTGATTCAGTTTTCGGTCGATATATAGAAATGTTTTTTATAAGGAAACGGAAACTTGAAATCAATTAAAGATTTAACTGAAAATGAATTTAAACTAAAGAAACGACAATTGAGTGGAAATCGAGATTTTATTCGCTTTTCAATGTATTTCTAATGCACTGAAAGCCTATTGTCTGGCATTTAGCGGTCTTTCGGTGACTTCTTTCGGTCGAATGCGCTCTTCTTTGGTCTCCAAAGCTTTCATTTGGTCTGAAATGAGACCAAAAATGAGAGAAAAACAGAGAAAACGGGAAATACTTTTGACGTCTTGTTTGCACGCATTCCTCGTCGTCAAGAAGAAGACGTTTGAATTGGTTTTGTCGCGAACGAAGACTTTCTGCGAAAGAAGACAAAAGAGTGACAAAAGTGTCGAAAGAGAAGACAATCGGAGACCGAGTTCTTGGCCATTGAGTCCAACTCGTAGTCCAACACTCGCAGAGTCTTTGCATTAACTGATCATTAGTTGAATCGGCAAATGAAGACTCACTTCGGACTCACTTTGGCGTCCATTTGGTCTGCAATTCGTTGTTCTGAAGACCGAAGAGTTTGTCAACACTTTGAATGCGTTCAGAGATTGACTGGAAATATATGCGAAGAAACGCGTCGACAGATGGCGCCAAACGTCTCGATTGTGTCATTGTTTACGTAATAACGAAGAGATAACATCTGATGAGAGAAGGGATCGCCAGAAGAGCGGAAGGAAAGGGAGGGAAGGGAGGGATCGCGCGGACGGACAGTGAGTGCAGAGACGGAAGTGTCGATAAAGAGTTTATTCGCCAATTAATAGGCGTTTTGTGGAAAAGGAGTCGAAAGTTGAGAAAAGTTTCAAATCAAAGGAATTAAAGATTTTATTGGTTTTGAACTTTTGGTCGCAAAACAGCTCTCAAATTGAGTCTCTTTTGAAGGCCGAGCAAAGGGCGCAACACAACGTGTGTGCTGTGCATGAGTTACGCCCTTTCGTGCAGACGTGACAAAAGGCGAAAATGTTTGGAAAAAAACGAGAATTTCAGGAAATTTTGAGGAGAATTGATGTTCAGATGACGTGAGAGAGGGTGAGGTCAGAGGTCACGGCCGACAGCCAATGAAAGGCGGCGTTCATTGAGTGCGACCTTCGTTTGACTTCAGTTGAGACCTGAGGATCACGTGATCAACACATTCGTCGCAAATCCAGAGAAAAGATGTCTTTCGCTGAAAACCCGCCGAAAATCGAGGCTTTGCTGCAATCGGACGGCTATTTGCGACTTCACGAGACGGAGATCCGGCGCCGGTATCGCGAGTTCGCGCGCCAGTTGGTCGCCATCGAGAAGGCCGAGGGTTTGGACGCCTTTTCGCGTTCGTACGACTCGTACGGCATTCACGTGACTAAAGACCAGTCGGTGGAAGCCGTGGAGTGGTGTCCGAAAGCGGAACGCGCCAGTTGGTCGCCATCGAGAAGGCCGAGGGTTTGGACGCCTTTTCGCGTTCGTACGACTCGTACGGCATTCACGTGACTAAAGACCAGTCGGTGGAAGCCGTGGAGTGGTGTCCGAAAGCGGAGAAACTCTTTCTTCGCGGAGATTTCAATCAATGGAACCGAACTTCGCATCCCTTCGAGAGACAGGAGTTCGGAAAATGGAGGCTCAAGATCGCGCCCAACGCCGACGGCTCGCCCGCCATTCCGCACGGATCCAAAGTGAAGCTCCTGGTGGTCACGAGTGACGGCCAGCAGTTGGACCGGTTGGACCCGTGGGCCACTTATGTCGTGCAGCCGCCCAAAGAGTCGGGAACCACTCTTTACGACCACGTCTTCTGGAACCCTCCCCAAGAACAGCGCCACGTCTTCCGCGCGCAAAAGCCGCCGGCGCCGCGCAATCTGAAGATCTACGAGAGTCACGTGGGAATCGCGTCCAATGAGTACAAAGTGGCCACTTATCGCGAGTTCGCCGACAACGTCGTGCCGCGAATCAAACGCCAGGGTTTGTCGTCACGTCATTGCCGTGTCTGTCGTCTCCTAACCGCTGACTCCCCTGTCGTCTCCTCTCCCCTTAGGCTACAACGCCATCCAACTGATGGCCATTCAGGAGCACGCGTACTACGCGTCGTTCGGCTATCAGGTGACGTCATTCTTCGCCGCGTCCTCGCGCTACGGCACTCCCGAAGACCTCAAGTATCTGATAGACACTGCGCACGCGTCGGGCCTCTACTGCCTGCTGGACATCGTCCACTCGCACGCCTCGAAGAACGTGTTGGACGGTCTGAACCAATTCGACGGAACGGACGGCGCCTTCTTCCACGCCAATGGCCGCGGATTTCACGACCTCTGGGACTCGCGACTCTTCGACTTCACGCAATGGGAAGTGCAGCGCTTCCTCCTCTCGAATCTGCGCTACTATTTGGACGCCTTTCAGTTCGACGGCTTCCGCTTCGACGGCGTGACGTCAATGCTCTACCATTCGCACGGAATGGGTGTCGGCTTCTCCGGCGATTACAACGAGTACTTCGGACTCGCGACCGACACCGAGTCCTTCAATTATCTCCAACTCGCCAATCACGTGATCCACCGCTTCTACCCGAACGCGCTGACCATCGCGGAGGACGTGTCGGGAATGCCGGCGCTCTGCCGTCCGGTGGAGGAGGGGGGCGGGGGGTTTGACCTGCGCCTCGGAATGGCCATTCCCGACATGTGGATCAAAGTGCTGAAGCACCTGAAGGACGACGACTGGGATATGCAGCAAATCGTTCACACGCTGACCAATAGGCGTTGGCAGGAGCGCACCGTCGCGTACGCCGAGAGTCACGACCAGGCGTTGGTCGGCGACAAGACGCTCGCCTTCTGGCTGATGGACAAAGAGATGTATGACTTCATGTCGAAGGTGACGCCCCTCACGCCAATCATCGACCGCGGACTCGCGCTGCACAAAATGATTCGTCTCTTGACTCACGGCTTGGGCGGAGAGGCGTGGCTTAACTTCATAGGCAACGAATTCGGCCATCCCGAGTGGCTGGACTTCCCGCGCGTCGGCAACAACGAGTCCTACCATCACGCGCGCAGACAATGGAATCTCATCGACGACTCTCTCCTTCGCTACGATTTCCTCAACGAATTCGACGCTGAAATGAACGCAACGGAAGAGCGCTTCCGATGGCTCTCGGCTTCCGGTTTGTCATCAGAATTATTGGCTGTTGAACTGTTGCTAACCCGTCCTTCCCCTCAGGCGCGTGGGACAACGAATTCGACGCTGAAATGAACGCAACGGAAGAGCGCTTCCGATGGCTCTCGGCTTCCGGTTTGTCATCAGAATTATTGGCTGTTGAACTGTTGCTAACCCGTCCTTCCCCTCAGGCGCGTGGGTGTCGACCAAACACCAGGACGACAAAGTGATTGTCTTCGAGAGGTCTTCGGCGCTCTTCGTCTTCAACTTCCATCCAAACAAATCGTTTCCCGACTACAGAATAGGTGTCGAAAAGGCGGGAAAATATCGAATAGTCTTGGATTCCGACGAACAGCGCTTTGGCGGCCACTCGCGCGTCGACCACAACACCGACTTCTTCACTCACGCCGAGGGCTGGAACGGCCGCCGGAACTCCCTTTTGGTGTACATTCCGTCGCGCGTGGCGCTCGTCTTCGCGCCAACCGATTGATTCTCAACTCAAGTGCCAACCAATCAATCAGAGCCTCGCTTTGTCTTTGAATAAATCGATTTTAGTTTGTTTTCGCCTCTCGTTGCCATTGACGACCAAATGTCGACAAACGGCTTCTTTTGCGACAATGACCTCCGAGTCGAGGACTTCGACGACGAAGAGACGGCCGGTTGTCGCGGCCCGGCGCCGCTGGTGGCGCGCGGTGTCGGTGGCCGTCCGCTGACCGGCGAAGAGGCGACAGTAAGCGCGCGAATCAGCGTTTCGTTTCTCAAAAGCTTTTCTCCAAAGAGTTTAAAGGAATTGGTTTTCGGTTCGAATCCGTTGTCCGAAGAGTGGAGACAACAATACCTCGAGTTCTCGCCGAACGTCTTCTACGGACTCGTCCAGCGAAAGGTGAGTCCGTGTGTCGTCTCTCGCGCCGTCTCTGACCTCTCATTGGTCGAAAGGGCGGTCCGTGCGGAGTGTTGGCCGCTATTCAGGCGCACCTTCTCGTGCGCCTCTTCTTCTGCGAGACCGACGCCGACGTCCGCCAGTGTCTTGCCAAAGCCATGGCCGACATCTTGTGGCGCGCGGGCGACCGGAAGCGCGCGTTCGTCGCTC